ATGAAGTCCAAACCCTGAGGCACGGCCTGCTCGGCCCTTTGCGGTCTCACTTAGACACCCGCCACTTCATCCCTCCCCACTCTCCCCACCACGTGTTCACGTTTGCCAAGGGACTTGCGGTTCCCGGGACATGACCAACTCTCTTGCTTCTGTGACTTTGCACATGCAGTTCCCTGGCACAGATCACTTTTCCCTGCTTCCCTTGCCTGACCCACTCCCTCCCTCTTCAAAGCTCCAGGGAATAAGCATCATTGCTTCCGATTCTCCTGGGTGGGACTGCGTACCGTTTTTATGTGCCCTCTTGAAATCTTCTGCCATGGTCACCTTCCTTATCACACCTTATTATTTATTTATTTATTTATTTATTTATTTATTTATTTATTTATTTATTTGAGAGAGAGAGAGACAGAGTGACAGGGGGAGGGGCAAAGGGAGAGGGAGAAGCAGACTCCCTGATGAGCTGGGACCCCACGTGGGACTTGATCCCAGGATCCTGAGATCATGACCTGAGCCGAAGGCAGATGCTTAACTGAGTCACCCAGGTGCCCCATTTATCACATTTTATTGTAATTATCTCCTTATCCTTGTGCCTTCTTTCTAGAGTCCCCAAGTACGGGAAGCATTGTCACCAAGGAAAGCCTCGAAGAATCCTGGGCTACCATTTTATAACTGTGAGATCTTTGGGCAATTAACTTATATTCTGTGCCTCTGTTTCCTCGTCTGCACCCTGAAGAGCATCCGACTGCAAAGCTGCGGTGAGGATTAAGCATGTCAATTATGTGTAAATCACACGGAAAGCACCAAATAAGGATGCACTATCATTCCGATCATTAGTAATCTTTGGGTCTAACACTACGTCTGGCGCTTAAGGGATGCAAAGTAAATGAACAATTACTCTGTTGAACAAACTATTTTGAACAAGCGCCTCTGTAAAAGCGTGTATTCCCAGACAAGAGGTTCCATTTCAATGCCACACATCTTGGCTCCGTTGTGATTATTCATACAGCTTTGTAGAAAAACAGCTTCACCCATTACTGTTCATTTGCTAGATGGTGAGAGAGCTAGCCCCCGGGTTGTACCAATGGTCTGTACAATTTCATACTTAACGCATTTTGGAAAGCCTGGCAGAATCATCCTCTGGCAGGATTTTTCTCAAGTCCTGTTTCTACAACTAAACATTCCTAAAAATGTCCAGGCAGGATGGTTTCTAGGAACTTTTTCAGGACCAGTGGGAGAGCACAAAAGCAGTCTTGTCGTCTTTGTTCCTGTCACAACCAAATGTCTGCACCTGGAGCATGTCCCATCCCCACCCACCATCCCCCTCCACCCCCTGCCCCAGGACCTAGACACACCGGAAATGTGACCAATTAATTACAGTATTTAATTCCTGAAAGAGAAGGCTGACTGATGGGGCAGAACAGAAAGAAGGAAGGGACTGAGAATGGCCTGACTTGTCAAAGGGTGTGTGCCCTGAATGTCAGACAGCTCAGGATGGGATGTGCAAGGGAGGGGACGGGGAGCCTTCTTCCCCTCTGGCCACTCCCCCCGAGCCCAGGATGCCATCCCTATGAATGTCTCACCCTCGTCGATGCATGGGTGGTGCTAATTCTTTCCCATTGGGCTCTGTCCCTGTAACTCATTATGTCCCATTTTCCACTAGGTCTGGCAGGCTGCAGAGAAGAGCCAACATCCACCTTCTGGACCTCGGGGGACTCAGGAGTTCAGGCAAACAGAGAGTACCGTGTAGCAGGACCCTCTGGAAGCCACCTACTTCATTCTGTGGGCCCTGGTGCTGTGATCTCACTCTGAAGATCATCCCTCTAACCCGGTCTCCCCTTTCTTTCTACCCATAATGCCTGAAGCATTAGGGGTCGCTGACTTATAACAATAATGAGTCCCATATTCATGTAGCTCCTCTCTTACAAGGAAACTGGATGCCCTTTCTGTGTCTCTTCATTAATCTTGCAGCCCTCCTGCGGGGTGGGCTGTCCAGTTAACAGTGACTCTCAGTTTAGCAGAATGGGAGCAGCACTGGGGAAAGGGGGTAGAGATGTCTGCACCGATCAGATGGGAGGACACATCATCAGTGGGACTTTGATGAGCCTACAGAACAAATAAAATTTCATACTGTGCAATGAACAATCCTGGGGAGCACTATGGCCAGTAAGAACAATATAAGGGGTTTCTAGGAAATGCATTAATAGAGACAATTTTTTAAAAGATATATTTAAATGACAAGAAAGGACAGGAAGCATCAGATGGGATTTGCAGGCAGAACATTTACAAGAAACATTAACTGTGGGTCCGCTCATCGCCTCCACTGTCTTGCGTCACTAATTTCTGTTGGCCCTTTTTTTTTCCAGGAAGATCTCAGATGCTTTCTCTTTAACTACATATTTTTATTCTGTTTCTCATTCCAGAAAACACACTGTTCCCAGCTCTCTCAAGATCAAGAATGAGCAGGCATCAGAAGGTGTTAGGGATGTGTCAAGACTAACTCATTAGATCGTACGCTGAGTTTCTCGCTTTTGTTCTTATCCCCAACCTAAAAGCAAACTATTCAAATTATATGTGCTAATCCTCCCTCAATTAGAGAGAACAGGAATGCAGCTACTATAGCCGTGTCCGAAATTATTAGTGTTTGAACCGGTACTTCAAAAAGATTATGGCAAGTGAAAGTCAAATGCCAGCAACGAATAAGTTTGTCTGGGTTTAGTTTCAGACTGTGTCCCAGTCAGGTCCCACCCTCCTCATCACGCAGAGGATGGCACCAGGTGTCAGCGGGGAAAGGCCGCCCATGTTCCAGGAAATGAAAATCACTCCTCCTGCTGCAAATGTACAATCCCTTAGAAACCATGCCCTTAAGACTCTTACAGCGAGACCCTCCGTCCTCTCTGCCATGTTTCTGAACACTGGGGGCCCCCTCACTCTACAGGACAACACTTAGATGGAGTTCAGTGTGGAAAACCAGCCACACTCCTTCCCATACTAAACAGTGTGTAACTTCTGTTTCGATACTTACAATGGCCCTACAAATTCTGCCTGGAATTTGGGAAGCGCATTCTACTTTTTTTTTTTTTTTAAAGATTTTATTTATTTGACAGAGAGAGACAGCGAGAGAGGGGAACACAAGCAGGGGGAGTGGGAAAGGGAGAAGCAGGCTTCCCACGGAGCAGGGAGCCCGATGCAGGGCTTGATCCCAGGACCCTGAGATCATGACCTGAGCCGAAGGCAGTCGTTTAACCAACTGAGCCACCCAGGCACCCCGGGAAGTGCATTCTACTTAAAGACTTCTTTTAGAGTTATATTAATTACTCCTCTCAACACCCAGGTGAGATTGCTACCCTACTTTTTCTTTCTTTTTTTTTTTTATGATTTTACTTATTTATTTGACAGAGAGAGAGCACAAGCAGGGGGAACAGCAGGCAGAGGGAGAGGGAGAAGCAGACTCCCCTCTGAGCAGGGAGCCCAATACTGGACTCTGATCCCAGGACCCTGGGATCATGACCTGAGCCGAAGGCAGACGCTTCACCAACTGAGCCACCCAGGCGCCCCCTTGTTTTTCAAGTTTATCAGAAACTGAGGTTCAGAAAGGTATATAAATATCACCATGTCAAAATATAAATAATGCCTAAGTCAGGAATTCAACATATCCGAACCCATTTGGCAGCTGTTAATAAGCTCTTACCCCTGTGAGTGGTAAAATTATTTATAATAACTTCATAAATGCTTTAAAGATCATAGGATATAGTTTAACGTTTATTATGTGAAATAAAGGGAATTCATACATAATGAAGGAAAATAGAATATGAAGCCTGTTATTTGAACCATCAGAGAACTGGGATAAATTTATCAAGACCAAGCAGAACTCAGACAAAGAGAGAAGAAATGGTTGTGAGAAAAGGACCAAGGTGAGGGTTCTCGAATACAATGTATGCGTCAGAAATAATAGCATGGAGCAAGTGACAAATGACACAAGGAGGGACTCAGGCAACTGAAAACTCAGTGTTCAGCCAGAGTTATAAGAGGAAATGTGCACGCCTGATAGGATGACGGTAATTACTCATGGGGCATCGTTAGGACAATGTGAGAGTTCTGAGATTTTGTGACCTAAAACAAGCAGAGAAAAAGGCAGAAGGAAAGAAGTAATAAAGAGAAAAATTAACAGAACTGATTCAAAAAGAGGTAAAAAAAAAATGTTCAGGAAAAAAGATCTTAAAATTTTAAAAAGTATTAACCAAAAGCGGGAAGGGGTTGGTTGAGTCAAGCTCAGAATGGAAACCTGCAGTTGCCATATTAATGGGGTATGAGGAAGCCAGATGTGAAATGAGTCAGTGTGTCAGGGTTCATTTGCCAAGAGTTGTTCCAAATCCTTTCTCATTTCTGTTTACAAACCTCGGCTCTGTGAGATGCTCAGAATACACTCGGGCAGGGATCCAGAGGATTTTATCAGCCCCCCCAACCATGTTAGACATTAGATTCCATCCCCATAAATTTGCCTGAATTGTGATTAGGATTTCTCATTGCCGGTATATCAATTACAACAGATGAACTCTGGACCTGATAAAAACCAAGAGAATGAAAATACTCCCAGGGACCTGGCTCTTGGGAACCAGGTCAAAATTTCACCTCAAATGCTAATTTAAAACAAAAAAATCAATCTGGTCGCTAATCTTTAATTCAGAGCATTTTGAGGTCTAGGGAAGTTTTATAATGAGATTGTTAACAGAGACGAAGATCATAAAATTTCAAAATTTCAAGCAACACTAATGGCTAACTCATTTTAATTAGTGGTTTTTGGCAAATAACATGGCATTTTCGTATTCCACGGGGAAATATTCCTGAAATGGAAGCAGGAGTGTGACACGCATATGTAATTCAATTTAATTTCGTTCCATAATTTTTAAAAAAAAAAAAGAAAATGTTTACAATTCTTAAAACCTGTGACGAGAAGCCTACCCTTTAAATTTTAAAATGAAGAAAACAGAGAATTAACTTGCCTTGCTAAATAAAATGGACACCATGAAGAAATCCAGTAAAAAACTCTCTGAAATATCTTTGTAGTCAAAATGGAAAAAGATCACAGTGAAGCCCAAGTGAATAAACTGGTGAGCTGGGTTACAGAAAGAGGTCCGCAGCAGCTTCATGCCGGCCACAATCATCAGGAAAATGTCCCAGCTGTTGAAAAGGAGAGAAAGGACTCAGTCAAAGACTGCCTGCAAACTATCAGGTGAGTTACAGGAGCTACCATTTCATGAGCATTTACTGGGCATGGTGCGCTTTAACGGGCATGAAAAGCCACGACTGCGCTGGGGCACTGGGGAGGGGGCTCTGTCATTATCCACATTTGTCAAAGGAGCAAACCCAGTCTCAGAGTTTGGGTCCCCTGTCTAAGGTCTCACGGGGCCGAGCGAGGATTGAAACTCAGTCCCCGGGGACTCTGGAGCACAGACCCTTTTCACAAGAGGCAGCTCCTTTCTGCCCCATGATTTTCACAGTTCCCTGTCCTTCAGCAAGGACACAGGGCTCCCTTGCATGCTGTCCCTCTTAGCATCTGCTCAGTATAGGCTTTTTTATTATAAAAGAATCCTACAGAAGCAGTGATGTCATAATAGTTAATATTAAATTCTGAAAAGAAAAAAGCAGTATCTTAATAAAGCCATTTTTGCCTTTACTGTTAATTTCCAATGTTTTTCAGCATATTTATTACCCCCAGTGAACATATGCTCTCTGAACTCCCTTTTTTTTTCTGCTGAAAATGATCTCATCGACTTTTTTTCCCTATGGCATTGGCGTTTTTAGTGAAGGAACTCACCAAAGGAGTCTGGTAAAGAGATACTAGGGCTTTGCTTTGAGGCCTGGACTCCTGGATGCTCTTGTCTAGGGAGTCAGGTTATTAACCCGTTTAGAGAGCGTGTGTTCTGTGCACAATTCCAGCAGATGCTGAGGCCAACAGTGAACACTCTACCTACCTTGAGCCTGGAAGGTTAGTAACAGCTCAGAAGTGCCTGACAGAGCAACCAGCTCCTTTCTGAGGGCAGGTTTTGCACTTTAGGCAGATTCCTGCCCCCCCCTCCCCTTATAAAATCCTACTTGGGAACTCAAAAGAAAGAAATGGGAGAACTGCTTTCTGGAGAATGGTGGCTCTTAAAAAAAGAGAAAGGTTTTCTTTTTCTGGCTAAATACAGAAACCTGGAGCTATGCCTCAATTTCCCTAAGCCTAGAACGATCTTAGGCTCTGGACCTTCACTAGCATTACTATTATCTTGTCCCAGGATGAGGACGTTCAAAAAGTGCTTTTAAAGCCTTTGCACCTATCAGGTGCAAAATTGACATTTTTATTGTCAGAAAGATCTGGTGTTGGCAATTCCATCTGCCTCCATGTGATATTCCATATGCCTTCAAACCTAGGGCTGCAATTGTGTTCTCTCTGCCCCAGGATGTGCCCAGTGAGATTTGCTCAAGGGCTCTTCTGAGAAAAACTAGCCCTTGATTACATGCAGATTTGGGCTGAGTGGGAATGTTTTCCTATAACTTTGACATAAAACCTTCAGGGTTCCTGCAGCGAGGTTGAGGACTGCTCCACAACCCATCTTTCTTTTTCAGTGGACAACTAATGAGCCTGATGAAAATACAATATAAAAATATGACTTTGGGTCCAATTGCCTTTGACGACAGCCCAGAGTACAAGAATCCTTGTGGGAGGGGCGCCTGGGTGGCTCAGTCAGCTAAAGGTCTGCCTTCAGCTCAGGTCATGATCTCAGGGTCCTGGGATTGAGCCCCATGTCAGGCTCCCTGCTCAGTGGGGAATCTGCTTCTCCCTCTCCCTCTACCCCTTACCCCTCTGCTTGTGCGTGTCTCTCTCTCTCTCTCTCAAATAAATACAATCTTGGGGAAAAAAAAAAAAGGAATCCAGATGGGATACCAAAGCCCAATGACAAGGCACCTCAAGATAAGGGGTATTTGATATTTTAGGGGAGACTAGTGATTTTTCTGGGTTATTCAGGCCAAATCTAGATTGAGGGTAAACTCTAACTCTCTCTGACTATGGTTCAAATGAACAGCATTTATTTTATGTTTATTAATGATGACTGGTTAAGACTATGGAGGGTCTTAAGGACTGATGTTTATAGCCTTTGTAACATTGCAATAGTAATGGTTACAGTTAAAATCGTTCATAGACGATTACAGGCTCAGCTGAAGGTTTAATAGAGGGTTATGTAGCAACCAGTGAACATGGCCTGGGACAGCTGCAAAGCACCCATTTCGATCAGGCTGGGAAATATAAATACCTAACAAGATATCACAATTCACTCACTCGTCCATTTACTAGTAGCCCCCACTCGCTCATCCATCCATCCAGCCTTCTACCCTTCACTAGGGAGTTGGTGTTAAAAGTTGAATAAGAAACAGTGCCTGTTGTTGAAGACTTCACTACCTATCTGGTACAGTGGTTCTCAGTGCAACCAGGGTGGGGGCGAGGCTTCTGTATTGGAAACAGGTTTCTAGGTGATACTGACATACAGCCTCCTGCTGTCCTGCTTGGGAACAGCTGGTCTAGTGGGGTACTTGAAATTATTTTCTAAGTCTTCAGATGGATGCCTCAAGAATACAAAGGAATCGGCAGTTTTGGGCTCTAAGAAGAATAATCCTGCTGGTATCATCTGGGGTTTGAGAATATTTGGAGGTACAGAGCTAAGGTGATATTTTCTGACTTAAGTGTCTGGAAAAAAAATTACAGGGGATAGAGAGTATTATTACTCGAAACTGGACTCCCTCCAAACTGTTTATTTGACTCTGCCTGATTCCCAACCTTTGCATCTGTCCTTTGCCAACAGCCAGAACTGCTGGGTCTCAACCTGCAGGCTTAGATTGAGGTCCGAGGCCTGATGTTGGAAAGCGACAACTTTAAATCCTTTAGCTCATTACCCTGAGGGCAGCACTGGTATCTTCTTTGTCACTTTGGTGCTGATTGTGAACCCTCGTTCTAGAAACTGAGGCTCGGCTTTGTTCTGGGAGGTCATTGGGGTCAGCCAACATTGTGTATACTGGAGACACCTGCCACTAGGTAAAGCACTTGATGTTTTGGATGGGGAGGCATCTCCTGGATTGGGTCCCACCCACACTGTGCAGGAGGGCTACATTCCCATCGTCTCTATTCTTTATCCAGTGAGACTGATTTTCATCCCTGGATCTGAAGTCTAGTAATACCAAATATGACTTGCCTTGGTCTAACAGAAGTAGGTCTGAACTGCAAAGAAGGCAGAATCTGATAAAGACAGGAAGGTTATACGATCATTTCATTTAGTGTCTGCTCTGTGTGACTATGAATCTATTCAAAGTCCAACAGAGTATTCAAATGCCTTTTATCTCAGCTTGCTCAATCTTTAGCAAATATTAATTAATTTGTCCTCATCACACCCTGAAAGGAGGAGCAGGTTTGGATAATTATGCTTGGGATTATGCATGAGAGTTGACTTGGGTGCATAATGTTTAAGTAACGTGACTTAATAAGCAAATCCGAAAAAGAATCTCTTTTGCATTCTACTATTCAAACTTATTTGACCAGCCACTTCAACCTTTTGTTGGAACAACAAATCCACCAATTATCGAGTAGGATTTCCATTTGCAAATTCAGAGTTAATTTTAATATATGAAAGCAGTAACTCAACTGAGCACCGTTAATACTTTGCAAAAACATGGGGGCATCTTGATGGCATGATGTCTCTGTGCTCCATTTTTTTTAATTGGGAGGCTTCTCTGGATAAATGCAGAGAGATCAGTGACAGTGATTAATCTCCCCCTCCCTCAAGCACAAAATGATGGAGTATTCGCTAAATGAAATGACACGAGGCTGTTCATAAAGCTCTGAGCATGATGGTAAGAACTCCAGGAGCCCCCAGCATCATACTGTGCTTCCATCATCTTATTAAAGCTCATTGACTAAGCTTTTGCAGGAGGATTTTCAGACTGACTGTCATTTATTCACAACATCACTTCAATTCCTTTTCAGCTTGGTCACTCTACAGTAACCATCAAGCTCTAGTGAGTTTGAGTAAAAGACCACCGTGGCCTCCTTGCACATGGCCAGTAAATCAGTAGATGCACGTTGGCTTCTGCTGTAGCCTGTTTAGAGAAAATTCACTGGATTTTGAAATCATTGTGATTGAAATCATGATGAGAATAAACCGTTATCCACTTACTGGGTACCAAGTCTCCGGTAATTGCTGATTGAAAATGCATCAATAGTGAGGGCATTCAAAATTATTGCTGGATACAAGATATATTTTTCAAAACACTGAAGCCAAACATAGAGTCTTTCAAACCACATTAAATGGGCGACATCTGAAAGAAACACAAAAACCACTTAGAACAGCCACTGATCAAGTTATTTTTCTTTAAGTGCATGTAATAAGAAGTAATATCCCCCCCTTTAGTTCAAAAGCTGCGGATTCAGACTCCAGATACCAGATATGATCTACCAATTTCTTTCCAGGCAGCAACTCTTTGCTTTGTTTCTACATAGATCATAAATAATAATATACAGTAATACAGGCCAGTATCCCCATTTTTCAAGTCAAGTGATTTTTCCATATATAATCATTTCTGGGACCAATAAAATAAGTTGTCATATAACATCAAGGCATCTCAGAGTAAATAAGGGTAGACAGTGAAGGATGAAGGATTGAAAAACAATCCAGGGGCCCATCTCCTCTTAAACTGGGGATACTTCCAAGGCTGGGCTGTCTTCTCCCGTTTTGTAGTCTTTAAATCTACAACCAGATCCCCAGGCAATAGATACAAAGAAGAGAAACCTGATCCCTAGGCCCCGTCAGGATGAATGTGTGACATTCTTGTGAACCCTGGTGACAAAGGGAGCACCATGGGGAATGAAGCCTATTCCCAGGAGGGCTAAGGTTTTGAGGTTTGCATTCAGATTCTACTAACCACTGGTGTGTGTGATGGTGAACTGTTAACTTGATCTTCCTGAGCCTGTTTTGTGCGCCCTGCCCATCCTCTGAGTCTGCTACTGGGGAAGTGACCGCCCCTCTTTCCATCCACTCATGGCAGGGGAGAAATCTGCTCTCCCCCAGGATGGGGTAATACGGAATGCATACTTGTAGTGCCCGTTGCCCATGTCTATTTTTCTCTGTGAGGATGGGGAGTGGCTGGTCCAATTGGTCAGAGCACCAACTTCCTTAGGCCATAGCGTCAGCGGGGGAGGAAAAGGCAGCCCTGTGGCAGGGTGGAGCTCTGCTCTGCTTCTGGTTGCTGCGAGGAGAGCATGCCTGGTTCAGCCCCGGGCCCGAGGGGGAGCCTATCTCATCCTCCACCGAATCTCTCTGCTGGTCACTGCGAGGCTGACATGGACGCCAACCCACCAGCCAACAGCCAGGAGAATGAACCAGATACGCCGGGGTCTCAGTTCCCTCCACAGCAAGTCTCAGAGGCCAAACCTCCAAAGGGCAAAGCCGACTCCACTGAGCTTCTGGACTCACATTCCTCCACCATTCATAATACAAAACTTATACCCCCAATAATCTATAGTAAAAAAACAAGAAAGCCCCATAGTTTTTACATTATTTGAATTGCATAAGAATCAACTCATGAAAGACAAATAGGTCACACTCACCGTGTAGAGTGACAAAGCAGTGATACGGGCTGTCCCCTCCATGCGTCTTAACCAGTTTTAGGACACAAATTACCTGCTCCCAACATTTTTCACTGGGACTTTGTGTAAAGAGTCTCAGGAAGCAATATATAAACACACATGTACTATACACACAGAATTGGAAACTGATATTTTACTTTCTTGTTTATATGGCTTACATATCTATGCAAGAATGTATTATCATGACCATAAAAACACCAAAGCTATCTTCATTTGATTAAAACTATGAGGAGAGGTCGGCATTCAGAAATCTTACTCAAAAAGAATTAATTTGAATGAGATAGGAATGGTGAAGATGGGTAGAGTGGGAATACTTCATGACATGGGAAACAATAAGAATAAACATCCCAATGATTAATTTAATAAGTAGAAGAGAGAGGCAACGAGAAATTATCAAGATTAAAAAAAAAATTTAGCGGTAAATGAAACAGGAGGAAGACTGGGTATTTACCCAAAGAAAATGAAAACATTAATTTGAAAAGATACATGCACCTCTATGTTTATTGCAGCATTATTTACAATAGCCAAATTATGGAAGCAGCCCAAGTGTCTATCAACTGATGAATGCATAAAGAGGAGGTGGTGTGTAGGGGTGTGTGTGTATGTGTACAATATATACATATTAGAATATTACTCAGCCATAAAAAAGAATGAAATCTTGCCATCTGCAACAACACGGATCGATCTAGAGGTTGTAATGCTAAGTGGAATAAATCAAAGACAAATACCATATGATTTCACTCATATGTGGAATTTAGGAAACAAAATAAACAGAGGAAAAAAGCGACAAACAAAAAACCAGACACTTAAATACAGAGAACAAACTGATGGTCTCCAGAGGGGAAGTGGGCGAGGGGATGGGTGAAAGAGGTGAAGGGGATTAAGAGTCCACTTACCTTGATGAGCACTGAGTAATGTATACAATTGTTGAATCATGGTATTGTACACCTGAGACTAATACAACACTGTATGTTAATTATACTTCAATTGAAAACGTATATATACACAATGGAATATTACTTGGCCATAAAAAAAAGAATGACATTTTGCTATTTGTGACAACATGGATGGATCTTGAGGGCATTATGCTAAGTGAAATAAGTCAGAGAAAAACTAATACCGTATGATTTCACTTATATGTGAAATACCAAGTCAAATGAACAAAAAACCAGAAATAGACTCTTAAATACAGAGAAAAAAGCTGGTAGTTGCCAGAGGAGAGTGGAAGAGGGGCTGGGCAAAATAAGTGAAGGGGATTAAGAGGTACAAACTTCCAGTTATAGAATAGATAAGTTACAGAGATGAAAAGTACAGGATAGGGAATACAGTCAGTAATATTGTAATAACTTTGTATGGTGACAGATGGTGACCACACTTACCATAGTGAACACTGCGTAATATGTAGAATTGTCTAAGTTATACGCCCGAAACTAATACAACATTGTTTGTCAACTATACTTCGGTAATTAAAAAACAGCAAGGATGTTGGGTAGGGATTTAACTTTGGGTATTCTTAATGGTCAATGTGTAGCGTTTTCTGGTGTAGATCTGGAAATGGGTTATTTCATAAGGAATTAAGCTTTTTACTTATAATTAGTGAAATCTAGGTATATTATATATTTTACAGATAGATAAAAGGGTTTTCATCTTTTGTGAAAGTATATGACAATTTAGAAACACAAATCTGTACGATCCATCCCCCATTTCCTTTAGGCAAATGACATTAACCCCTACTTCCTAGAGAAAATTGAGGCTATTAGGCAAAAATTGCCTAATCTTCCCACCCTTCAACTACCGATTTATGTATATTCACATCTGCCTTCTCGGTTCTCCTGAAGCGGAGCTCCCACTGATGCTTTGGGTCTCACTTCTCCTGATATCTGGTTCAGGAGTCACACCCCCCAGAGGAACTCTTTCCTACTGGCAAATGGCAAGATTCCAGTCTTTGCCAAACTGAAAACTTGCTTTCTGCTCTGCACCTCCTTCCTGTGCTCACTCTGCCCTTTTTTGCACAGCTTCTTGGAAAGGCTGTGAATGTCTGACAATCCCAGGCCCTTTTCTCCTACTTGCTGCTGAAACTTCTGCCCCTGGGTGTTTGCAGCTACACCTGCCCAGATCAGTGTAGGATGCAGCCACCTGTGACCTCCTAAATGACAAATAACTGATCCTCCTTGGTCTATCTTACTGGACCTTTCTAGGCACAAAACACAAAAAGAAGGAAGGTTCCTTCCTTCTTTTTAAAACTCTGTCCAGGGGCACCTGGGTGGCTCAGTTGGTTAAGTGTCAACTCTTGGTTTCAGCTCAGGTCATGATCTCAAGGTCATGAGATTGAGCCCCATGGTCAGGCTTGAGCACAGGCACTGAGCGTGGAGCCTGCTTAAGATTCTCTCAGGGCGCCTGGGTGGCTCAGTTGGTTGGGCGTCTGCCTTCAGCTCAGGTCGTGATCTCTAGGTCCTGGGATCAAGCCCCAAGTTGGGCTTCCTGCTCAGTGGGGAGTCTGCTTCTCTTTCTCTCTCTCTCTCTCCCTCTGCCCCTCCCCACCGAGTGTTCTCTCTCTCAAATAAATAAAATCTTTAAAGAATTCTCTCTCTCCCTCTCACTATACCCCCCACTCACTCACTTTCTCTCTAAAAATAAATAAAAAATAAAATAAAATAATAAAATGCTCTCTGCCCTTAGCTTCCCCATGCCACCCACTCCTGCTTGCACTTAAACCTTCCACCCTACTCTTTCCATTTTCTCTGCAAGCTCCTCTTCCCTTAGCTGGTCATTTGCTTTCCTTGAACTTCTTTATTATTTTTCTCTTTTGCTTGAGCTGATGCCCTCAACACCCTCAACTTTAATGATTACTCCCATGCTGATGACACTCGGATCTGTAACTCAACCTTCCATCTGTCTCCTGGCCTCCAGAGCTCAATACTCAACTGAACAGCTTCATCGGACGTCCCTAAGGAATCTTCAAATACATGTCAAAGACTGAACTTGTCAATGTCCATGCACCTGCTCTTCCTGATGCATTCTCTATCTTATTTAATGATACTTGCATTCACTTTAGTCATGCAGGCAATATACCTTGGAGTCATCCTAAATCAGTTCTTCTCAATCATAGCTGCACCTTGGAATCACCTGGGAACAAGACTGAAAGACACTGTCCTAGATCTGTGATGCTCAAACTTCAAAATGCAAATAATTCACTTGCTAAAACGGGTCTGATCCAATGGGTCTGGAGCGCAGCCAGACATTCTGCAGCTGTCACTCTGTCCCTCTCTGGAGTCATGATCACCAGTTTTGCACTTACATTCTATACTTAACTGGTTACCTGAATTAGCTGCGCTGGATTTTTGAAAACCTTTTCATTCAGCTTTTTCATATACAGAAACCTGCACAAATCACACATGTTAGAGCTGTGTCCCTAGCACGTGGATGAAGAAATGCTCTGGAAGTGCCCCCCCCACCTGCTTATGGTCACTGCTCCACAAGGTAACCACTTGTCCCAACCCCAAACACCACTGTTTCGTTTGCCTCCTATTCTCTTGTATCTTTGCTCAACAATTTCGTGAGATTCAGCCACCTTTGTGTGTCCCATTGTCATCCTTTCATTCTCAATGCTGTGTACTAATCTGGGTGAGTATACAGTTATTTTTCAGTATACAGTATACCGTTATTTTTCCGG